AGGCGGGAAACTTAAATACTTCGTCTTTTTCACCGTAGCGCCGCTACGTTTGTCTGTTCATTGTGAATGAAATAAACCAGCTGAATACATACCCATAAGTCGTTTCATATCTACACCGAACTAACCACCATTTTTTAATACATAAATACCGAGTACTGAAGCAAAGAACGACTAACCGCTAACGGCTAATCGATAAACGGTTAGCAAACCAACCCGGTTAGAGATCGTAACACTTTGCCAAAATAAATTTCATTTACCAGTACATACCTTCTGATAGGTTACACCATCTCCACACATCAGCTAAATATTCGTAAACCATTAAATTATCTGCATTTGGCGGTCTTCTGTGTCTTATACTTCCTGATGACAGCAGGATCTGCCTCCAACGGCTGCCGTGAGTCCTGCCCAGCAGCCCGGAGACTGTCACCGGATTGGCCGGAGCCACCGGACTTTAAACCAATCAAACGGAAGAGCCATGAGTACAGCCAGAACAACGATAAAAACACTAAAAACACTCCCTTGTCAGACTTCATTCTTTCATTTAAACGTTCAGTAATGTGACTTAGCCTTTTTTAAACAAATGTTTTAACCATTTATACGGATTTTAATTGATTTAATATCAAAATTAATTCTTGTAAAGCTATAAACAGATATAGGCAATACATCAATTATTTGGAAGGCTACATAATGTTAGTCAGTTTCTATTCTGTTTTTGTTCTGTCTGAAATAATTGTTTAAACGGTGGTAAGAAATGGTCACTGTTGATCTTATCCAGCAGCTTGTGGACCTGAGATTCATAAGGATCCTTATTGTCAAACACTTGATAACTTCCAAACCACTGACGGACAAACTCAGTCAGAGCTGGATGGAGATGGAGATGCAGTCGCCCTTCAGGTCGTCTCCATGGGTGAACAACACCATTGTGTAACGTGCTGCTTCTTCTCCAAACATTTTCTGGATGATTTTCACTGTTTCTTCTAGGTTTGTCCCAATCCGATATGTGGATCGAATCGGCCATTTAAAAAGAAAAATCAGATCGTGCAGCAGCGCACCGATTAAAATAATCCATTACTGATGCTGAGTTAATAGACTATTTTCTATTCAGGTTGTTTGTGTGTTTTACCTTTTTAATACAGTTTACAATATTATTTGAACTTTTTACTCTTCACTGATGCCATTTTCATTATTTATAATTTTGTCTTTGTCCCTGAATAAACAGGTCAGTGTCTCTTTACCAACCATTGTGTATTATTCAAACTCACCTAATTTAGCTAGCTAGTTGTTAACAGAGTAAATCCCTGTTCAACATGAGTCTGACAGCTAAATACATAGGCTAAATAACTTTAATACATGCTCCGATAGGCCGGTATCGGATCGGAAGTGCAAAAAGCTGGATTGGGAAACCCCTAGTTTCTTCTTCATCTTTGTTAATGTGGTCAGTTGGATCACAAAGAGGAACGCATGAGGACCAGGACCGCAAAACAAATACACTTAGCTATCTCTTTCACCATCTCTTTATCTTCTCTTTTGGGGTCAAAAATCCCTGGAGTATAGATAAGATCCAGTATTTTACCACCAAACACTCGAGTTTCCTTCTCACACTCTGTAGTCACTCCTACAAAAGAAAGTTTTGATGCAAAGTGTTTCTCCCCGAGGATGGGGTTTCTTGTTTCACTCTTTCCAGTTCCAGTTTTTCCAACAAGAACCATCCTGAGTTCTTGGTCCTTTGGTTTGGTTGGAGAATTGGAGGAAAACATTTACTGACGGAAAACTTTAATGATTAAGGAGTTTATGAATATAGTAATGGATGTCTTTTAGAATTATTATGTAACTTATGCGTTTGTCTGAATTTCTCCATTTTTGCCATGAATGCATACAGACTGAAACTTGTTTTAGTAACGCAATCCGTTGTGGAAACACAACCCGGATGTGGGTTGGACAGACTTAGAAGGAGGAGACTCAGAGCAGACTTAAAGCAGCAGAAAGTGAAACTCTTCTTTATACAGACATCAAGACATCAGCAGCTCACCATCCTGTCAAAGACAAACATGTCCAGCAGCGAATATATTCCTCTTCGTAAGTATATTTCTAACTTTTACATGTTTAAAAAAGGTTAAACTTTCAATATTTTTTGTTTAGTTTTGTGTATTGTATGAAGCCCACTGTAACACCATTTCCAAAGTCAGAAATATTAACAATATTCATATATTTTCTGCTCTAAAGAAAGATTATTCATTGGTCGGCCAAATCACATCATTTCTGTATTACTTTTTCAAACAATTTGTACTTTCCTCCGTCTGAAACGTTTCTCTAAGTCCAATCTGCCATTTCTAATTCATACAAAAAGTGGAAAAACATAATGAAATGTCATTCTTTTAAACAGGCTGAAACCAGATCAAATGGAGGTCTTTTGTAGGGACAAACTGAAATGCAGATACACTGTACCACGGTCCCTTTCTGTGGAGCTGTCTTTCAAACTTGTGGTGGATTGTTTTGTTTGCATATTTCCTTAATTATCTGTTTCTGAGCTAAACTGGTCTATGAAGTGTTTTATTACAGGTGCTGTGGAAACAAAAGCACATCATATATTAACTCATCTGTTCAGATGATATTAGTCATCTAACCACCAGACGGTAAAAACAGGAATCAGATTAAACATATTTCTGAGCTTCATCTATTGGAGAGAGGGAGTTATCTCAGAATCTGTTTGCTACAAAACTGATATTAATGTTTTCCCATTTTGAGCAGGTATGTTATGGAGAATGTCAGCAGCTGGTTATCACATAACCTGCTACCTCTGAGCCATCTCTGGCACATCTGCCATGCTTGGCTACAGTCTTTCTGACATCAGCAACATTGTTTTTCTGTCCAAAATAAATAGGAATGATGGGACTGTTCTTGTGTTCATGACCTGACTTCCAGTGAAATTAATCTATCCAAACAAATATCCGGGTTTTATTTCCAACCCACACATCCTGGTTGTGTGTCAATGAGCCGTCACCAAAACAAGTTTTTGTTTGAGCAGCAGTAACTTTCCATCCCTCAGATCTTCCAGTGAAATCAGACGTCATTATTTAAACAGAATAAGCAACATTAGGCTAGAGGGTATTTAGCATTTCTGTCTATAAATGTTTATCTGATACACAGAGAGGTATGACCAGCATGGTTTTACTCTAAATTCCACCAATCTCAGTGAGGAGCAGATTTCAGCCTGAGAAAAATGACTTTTTCAGGAAAATATTTAGATCTTTCTGAGACCTCATATCAGCTGAGCAGTTTTTTTACATAATCAGCAACATAAAAGTCCTAAATCACATGTAGCTGAGGTAGTTTAACAACTACACCTATTTTCTTCTTCATTGATTCAGATGTCAGTTTTGCTGATTTGTTTATATTTTATTTTAATATGTTTGAAGTGGAATAAACTGCTTTTGTATGATAAAAAGTGGTTTTTTGAGGGCCTTTATGCATTTAAAAAAAGGGAGCAAAAAATCAGATCTGTGCAAAAGTTACATGATGATACTAAAAGAAATCCCTTAGTACATGTCTGGAAGAATCCAACTTCTGCTTTTGCACTCAGATTTATTTATGAGTCTGTACTTTTGTGTGTCTGGTTCCTGTTCAGGCTCAGTGGACATTTCATTCATCAACTTCATTATTAAAGTTTTTTTTCAGTGAATGTTTTCCTCCTATTCTCCAACAGAACAAGAGGAACCAGAACTCAGGATAGTTCTTGTTGGAAAAACTGGAACTGGAAAGAGTGCAACAGGAAACACCATCCTAGGGGAGAGAAGTTTTGAATCAAAGCTTTCTGCTATAGGAGTGACGGCAAATTGTCAGAAGGGAACTCGAGTGTTTGATGGTAAAATACTGGATGTTATTGATACTCCAGGGCTGTTTGACCCTGAAAAAAGCAACGAAGAGCTGATGGAAAAGATAGCTACATGTATTTCTCTTGCGGCTCCTGGTCCTCATGTGTTCCTGGTTGTGATCCAACCGACCAGGTTCACAAACGAAGAACAAGAAACAGTGAATATCATCCAGAAAATGTTTGGAGAAGAAGCAGCACGTTACACAATGGTGTTGTTCACCCATGGAGATGACCTGAAAAGGGAAGGCGTCTCCATAGAAGAAATAATCCGTCACAATAAAGCTCTGAATGAGTTTGTCTGTCAGTGCCGTGGAGGTTATCACGTGTTTGACAATATCAATCCTGATGAGTCTCAGGTCCACGAGCTAATGGATAAGATCAACGGAATGGTTCAGAACAACGGAGGAACATTCTACACCAACGAGATGTTCCAAGCAGCTCAGGAAGCAAAGAGAGAAGAAGAGAAACAACTTCTGAGAGAAAACCCAGATATGGATCCTGAAGAAGCAAGAAGACGAGCAGAGACGGACAACTCATTCACTAGAGAATATCTGATAGCAGCAGCAGCTCCAGCTGCTTTGAGAGTTGCTGCTGGAGCCGCAGCTGGAGCTGTTGTTGGAGGCCCAGTGGGAGCTGTTGTTGGAGCTGCTATGGCAATAACAGACAAAGCATGCATCTTTCAGTGATTGTCTCTGTTATACATTTGCTTCAAATAATTAAAAGGTTCATTAAGTTGAAATATCTGGATGTGAATAATACCAACATATTTGTGATTCAGATTTTTTTCTTATTGGGGTCAGATGAGTTTCACTGAGTTTTGTGGATGCTTTTTTTCACTAAGGAATATAGAGTAAAACCATGCTGGTCTGCGCACAGTGAACCTGAGTGCAGCTTTAACTACACAAAGCTGAGGAATTTATTTGATTCAGAGATATTGATCAAATTCTCTTAGCCTCCTCATGTTAGTGAAACCACTCTGAACTGTCTCAGCCTGCAATCGCTGTTATGAGAGAGGACTTTGTGGGGACTTTTCTCGATGATGTTTGCTCCCAGAAACAGAAATCAGGGGTTTGTCTGTAACATGCCTCCAGTGTAACAATCATACCCCTCTCTGTGTATCAAATTAACATTTATAAACAGAAATGCTTAATGCCTTCTAGCCTAATGTTGCTTATTCTGTTTAAATAATGACGACTGACTTCACTGGAAGTCAGATTATGAACACAAGAACAGAGTCCCATCATTCCTGTTCAGTTTGGACAGAAAAACAATGCTGTTGATGTCAGAGAGCAGAGCTGCCTGGACATGCCCGTTGACATTCTTTAATTAAACACTAAGTAAACTCTAAAACACCCCCCGCTTTACAATACATTCATGTCAGTTTAGTGGCAAAGAGATTCTGAGATAACGTCCTCTCTCCCAAAGCTGCCGATCAGAAATATGTTTAATCTGACTCCTGTTTTTACCGTCTGGTGGTTTGATGTTAGACTGATTTAATCTGAACAGATGAGTTAAAATATGATGTGCTTTTGTTTCCACAGCAGCTGAAATAAAACACTCTATAGACCAGTTTAGCTC